ACTTAACGTTTAGTTGGTGATCAGCCGAATATTAGATAAATGACTATTATTGTCATATGTTTGACACTTACTATTGAAGCATATGACTTCTTTGGCATCTCTTCTTGGGCAGTGGCGACATTTGATTCAGAATTGTTTGGAACTTCATCAATCACCACACCTGTCGATTCTTCCTCTTCCACAACCTCCCCATTGTCTGAAGGATTATAGACTTCCTCCTCATTTACCTCCTCATCTTCAACTTGAGATGAAGTTGTTTGGTCCAGATCATGCTGGCCTTGTTCTGAAGGTAAATCTGTGAGTAAAAAGAAATAAACTTTGAGAATTTCCATATAAAACAAATGAAAATTTTGACAATCAAACTTTAAGGTATTTAGGAAAGATGAAAAAAGAAATATTTTTATCATAAGCAACTAGGTATCACTTGAATGGGGGATAAGACGAGAGAAAATCATTTAAGATTGTATGGACATATGTTTATGAGACCTCCGAATACAGTAGTCAAAAGAGGTAAAATAATTAATGTTTGTGATATAAGAAAAGAATAAAAGAAGATCTAAAAAGATCTTAATAGAAATTATAAATAAAGATTTAAGTACTCTGAATTTAACTAAACATATGACTTCTTACATATTTCAATGACGACAAAAACTTCATGAAACCAACACCAAATAGTTATAAATTACTGTTTTGTTATTGTTGTAAGTTTTAAGGTATTTAAAAGAAGAACCTTGCTTTGGAGCATGAGGTGCAACAGTACCATTTGCCAAGCCCTGCTGTGCCTGCTGGTGATTGACCTCTTCAACAAATCTAAATATGTCATTCAATACATAGTAACCCTTGTCCTGCAGTGCAAGAAAGAAGGACTGGGTGAAGTCCCTCTTAACATTGTCCTCCCCCGTAACGTGCCCCGTCACAAGCACTGTCACCCCACCGCCAAGAGATTCCTGGGCATCCACCGTCTTTGTCTCCGCTCTGACAAAGCCCATGGACAATATCTTTGCATTGATCGCCTACATCCCATGTATTATTCAATTTAACGCAAGAAGTTTCTCATCCAACATGAAATCTATTGGCGGAAATATTCCAACTTTCTTAAAGATATGCAAAAAACAATTAGGGTTTTGTGTACTAACGTCGGTGGTGGTCACCGAGCTCATGGCGCCATGGGCATCCGGCCGGCCGAGCTTGCTGCCTTCCTGGTAGAACCGGTAAACCAGCTCCGGTGACTGCTGGAGGATATGGTAGTACTGCTGAACAAAGGCGTTCCCCACCTGAACCACCAACCCTCCAAGTTAGAGAGAAGATCAAGGCAAGACCAGAGTAACAACTTCTCGAAAAAGAGGCGAATCCACAACCACTTGAGCCGAAAGCGGAGATCTGTCGACGCTCGACGGCTGGGCGGCCATTGTCGCAGCGGGTTAGCTCAAGGGAGGCCAAGCGAAACCCTACAACTGGATCCCAAGTCTGCTGACCAGCGGGATCAACGAATCGAAGACGATCTGTCGAAAAAGGCCGTCGTCTGAAGAATGATATGCAGCCGATTGGAGAGGAGGGTAGGAATTGCCCTTGCTTGGCGGCTGCTCTCTCCTTGGGGATGGATCCTTTCAAGGGCTTCGAGCTTCGGAGAGCGGATTTATTTTAATGTAATCCGATTCCTCGACTCATTTCCACTCAATATTATGCTCTCTTTGAAGGCGAGGATTCGCACGTGTTATATTACGTCGGCCCCCTCCAAGACATGCATTCTGTGGGTTGCGGTACGGTGTCTCGCGAGCGGACGCACACTGGGCGGAGATCTTCAGTTTGAGCCATTGAATTGGATCAGAGATCGATCGGCCGTTGGATCATCAGATTTATCAGCTCTTTCGTTATAAAGGCAAGATGCAGGTGAAGACCGCGTGCCGCGGGACTAAAAGATCACAACCGTGTGCAAAGCACGTTCAGACATTCCCACTAAAGAGTGTGTCTTGGATCTAACAAGGTTTCTTTAGTGACATAAGTAATTGGAAAAAGCAATTTGAGATCAAGAAATCCTAATTTTCAGTATATATATCACACGAGGCTCTTTCATAAACATAAAAGATGACACACTTATGACCGCCAAACTCACCAACTCGATGAGATAGCACAGTAGTTTGACACCAACTATTGCACTCGTCTAAAGAAAGAACAGAGAGAATGGATGAGTGAAGAATGCACAGGAACATACTTCAACACAGGAGGTAAGATCAATACCAGAAATGCAATTTCCATAAAATCATGCTTGCAGTTTTTCTGAAATTGAAAAGGAATTTTTTACAGGTTTCAAAGAATGAAATCATAACCATAAAGTTTAATTCACCTCAGAATCTCGCATATAACTATAAGCCCAGGTAGAAACCTGTTCGAGAATAACAACAGATCTTACAAAATCCTAAAGGCTTAGTAGAATAAGGTGCTCAAAACAGCAAATATGAAAGCTTCAGGAAGCCACTTGCTCCTGTATGACAAAAAAAAGGTAATTATAATTGGATAAAGAAGGAAACATTAAGGAAATACCATGGCATAAACCCTCCGATTCAAAGTCCGGGGAGGAAATTTTTTTTCAGTATTGTCCCTTGATTTCACTAAAAATGAAGCCTCTGCCACAGAACCAAATTGCCAAAGATTTGAAGAATTTGGATTGACAAATCTATGATTCAATAGCATACATCCTTCTGATTTGAAGAAGCTTCAAACAGTCTGCAACCTTTGTTTCATAAAAGACAAGAGTGATGATGCTACATTAGCTTATATGGGAAATATTCATCAAGATTACCACTACCTAAGCAGCAAAATAGCTGGTTGGGCACTTGAAAAAAAGATGTAATCAGCAATGTGTAAATTCTGATTGGTAAACATTCAGCATCAAGAATAACCCAGGGGCCTATTTTATTTGATGCAAACCTATCTCTATCATTTAACAACTTAAAACAAAATTTGAAGGTATCAACTAGCTTAGTTAGTAAAACCTTGACATTATACCGCAAGATCCTGGACTCAAATCCCGCATTTGCCACTTACCCTTTGTAGAAAAAACAAACATCAACAAAATCTTCTGTCAGCTAGCAATCTGGGACTACATTGAAAAGAGTGTATAGCACAGCAACTCACCATACTCATGCTGAGTAATTATAACTTAATTTGCCTTCCCTGTAACTCCTATCACAACTTTCTTATTTAAGATCAAATTTCATTATGGATTCCAAGATCCTAGTTGTACCACCACCTAAACTGTCTCTTCATATAGTGCCTTTTTATTCCTAGACCAGCTGAGTGGATACAAATAGTATATCAGCCCTCTGCTATCACATACCTGATCCCCTTCTAATCAGTGGAGTCAGCCTTAATTGTTGGCCCTTGAGACACATTTACGAGCTCAATGAAAGATGTCCCTCGCAAACCAGAAGATTTAAGATGTTATATCATATATGTTAATCACAAACAGGCATATCACTGGGCTCAGCTGCACCAAATTTGAGTACTAACCTTTTCTCAAAAAAGCCCAGTTGACAAAGACAAATATCAAACTATACCTGCAACCCTATCTGTGAAAACATAAGCACGCAAGTTGCATCCTCGATTGAGTCTAAGGGTGTCTCCCAATAATTGATGACTTATGGATAAAGAATTGATATTACTTAATGTACTCCCAGAGCGCTCAACACCAGCAAAAAAAATGGCAACCTCTCCCTCACTTGCTGGTAGGGCAAATCATGCTGTATATCTGTGAAAAAAAGGTAAGCGAGAGCAACATGTGGTTTTAAATCTAAACTAATCTAATATGATGGCCATGAACTGCTATAGTACCATGAACAAAACATGCTAAATATTTGCTAGGGTTAAAGACACCTTTTCTAAATTCTTAGATACAGATTCATGCCATCTTTTTTTCTATAATAAATCCTTGCCTTATATTGACAATCTCAGAGTGCAAGTCATCTCCATCTTTCTACAAAACCAAATATTTTTGCACAACTTATTTTTTCTGCAACATCCCAAAGGAGCTCGATTGATGTATACATCCAACTCTAAACCAACCAGCCTCATCTTTGAAAAGTTGAACTAGCTAAAGCATGCTCTTATAGTGACTAAATACAAAGATCTATAACTCTTCAAAGGCAACATAACAAGCAAAGTGCTAACACAGATTGCATATCAAGCACTACAAGAATAAGCAATTACATGAATAGTTCTCTCTCTGAAATTTATGGTTCCACCTATGGTTTCCGATATGTTCAATTTGTTCCAATATATGATTCTATTTACAATTCACTAAAGATGTTTAACAAGTAATGTATAAGCATAACACATGAAAAAAGTTGTGGATAAGATACAAGTGCAAATACCACCACATCACTATATTAACAAGGCAGCAAAAAATATTAGAACATAGGAAATTAACTATCTTTGATTTTGTTTAGCTCTTTTTTATTTGATAACCAAAACAAACTATGAAAGAAAAATAAGATGCACTTTTAGAGTGTTAACCTAACATTTACTACTATATAATCAAGTTTTCATCATTTTTAACTGGTCATGTCACTAGGTTCTCAGTTATTACAAGATAAATTGATGCAAGATCAAAATTTTCCGACCAAACATAACTTGAAAACAATTAATTAAAGGATCAACAAGAAAAAGACAATGTTGATGCCCATAGATCATGTTGGTAAGAGAATCCCAATTATAATACCATATTGCCAAAAATGTATAAATACAAAAACTAAAAGCATCAGCAAAAGGTTTACATCAATGTTTCATGGATGAGATATAAAAAATTTCTCACTGAAAAAAGTTGACACATCCCTTTTTGCAAGATATTACAATGGTATAAGATCCATTTCAACAGTCCCACCAGTTATAAACCGATTCTCTAAAAGATTAAACTAAAAGAATGAGTATAGAGCATCACAGGAATAAGAAGAAAGAAGAAATCAAGAAGATACCTAAATCATGGCCAAGAAGCAAACACAGGGGAATTCAAAATGCCTTCTTATTCTGCATAATATCTAAACTTATCATTCATCTGCAGAATATACCCTTACAGACAAACATAGGTTGACAGTTCTCAACTATGCTGCAAAATTGCACTGACGGACAAACTCCAAATCATAGTCCACATATTTTGTCCACAAATGTCGGAATTGGTTCATGGCAATATCAAGCCAAGGTTTCATATTCCCGTTAAAATGCACAACAGCAGCATTCTTGATCTCCTCCATGCTTATACTTGGATTATATCCGAGTCCAAGCACATGCCAGGACTTGTCCAATGGTTTTGTGGTAGAGTAAAATGTGATTAGACCTGGTGGAAGAGTTCCTAGTTTCCACAATGTTCGATTCTCATTCTGCAACAATAACAAGTGCTTCCATATCAGACACTAAAGGTAACTGAATAATATGAGTTAAAGATTGTGAAACAAACAAGATACCTAGATATCTTTCTTCCTGGTACATCTAAATGGTAGAGTAATAATAAACACTTCCTGTTGCATTTATCCAAAACATAATTTTACATATGGAAGGCACAAATCACATCATAGAATCACAGCATCCAGGTCTCCTTTAAACATGTTCATATCATCTAGACAATTATATCATTTTATTCTCTATCAGAAAATAACAACTGATTGTTCTTAAATGAAAATAATTTTTATGTTATTTTTTCTAGTAACTCCACGCACATCAATAATCATACTTTTTGTGTACGATATTTCTTAATTGTCCAATGATTTGGCCCATTAAGCATACTGACCTGATATATGTCTAATAAAACCTTTCTTTTAATCTAAGAGGAAAAAGTAGATTTTCATCCAAACATCACATTTACAGAAATAAATATGTCAACAAGACACTAATGGGAAATCTACTGAATATCTAATCAAGCATATTCCTTCTCATGCTAATTTCAAATACAAACTTAACCAAGGTCTGTAATTTCGTACCGTACCGGAGTTTCGACGTTCGCTCGGTACGGTACAAAATTGTATACCAAGCGATATACCGTTCGGTATACCGCTCGGTATATATATATATATAAAACTCGACGACGTCGTCTCTCTCTTCTCCCAGGCGGGGCAACATCGCCGAAGCGACATCACCTAGTTTATATATATATATATATATATATATATATATATATATATAATTTTATTATTATTTTTTGTTCCGTCCGGTAGCGGACGGTCCGCATACCGATATGTCGTCGGACCGGTACGTACCGCCCATACCGGACAGTATCATTCGGTATTGCCTACCTTGAACTTAACCCTCAAGAGGTGACTTTTGGTATGCATTTATTTCTAGCTAACAGGAAGAACTTCATATGCAAATTAGACTTTTTAGACTACTTTTGTTCCCCATTGTTTGCATGATTGTACATGCTAGATTTAGCTTCCAGTTGCAAGAAGATATAATTTTGCAAAGGAGACACAATACATGCTAATTTTAGCTTTCGGTTACCAAAGAGATAATTTTATAAAGGAAACAATAAAGAATATAGCAACTTACCAGATTCTGCCAGTAATGGTACTGCTCAGTGCACTTCTCTTTCCTCCATGCATCCAGATCAAAGAAATTCATCCCGTATGCCCACCCACATGCATTAGGGTTGAACTTCTCCTTGATAAGTGGGTGCGAGAAATTCATATACTGTGTATACCGGTGAAATGACCCAAAGCACGTCTCAACTGCTCCATTCACTTTCCCATCCATATCAATTTTCCATAGTGCTGTGAGATCCCGTTGCACCACCACATCATCATCCAAGAACAGAATTCTGTGGAGCTTTGGGTACATCTCAGGCAAGTAAAACCTCAGATGGTTTAGCATTGACAGATACTTGGGGTTCCTAAACTTCATGTTAGTGGTGTCCTTGGTGGCATTCTCTAGCTTGTTCTCAAAATAGAACCTCTGGAGGTTCGCAGACTCAAGCTGCCGGAGCACTGGCACATAAGAAGAGTTGAGGAACTTATAATCCTCCACGGCCTTAACTTCGATGTGTGCTCCAGAGTAATCTTTCATACGAAACATAACCTGCATTGCCCCCAGGTTCATCCGATCTGTAACCACGTGAAAGACATGCTTCCAGGGCTCACGGGCGTTGCGGACAGCAGAGTTCACCACGACGGACGCTGCGAGGACATTGTCTGAGAAGATGGCATAATGGTAGAGCTTCGGGTCTTCCAGCTCCGGTGGAGGCGTCGGGGGATCAACGTAGCGATCCGTATGGGCGATCCTCTCCTCCATGAGGCGCATGGCAAGGCAATGGAGGCTCTTGGGAATGGACTTGGCGGCAATGAGGGACGAGAAAGCGCCGGCCTTCTTAGCCTTGGAGAGCTGCTCGTTGACAGCAAAGATGGTATCCTTGAGCTTCTGGATCTTGAGCTGGTTGTCGAAGGACTCCTTGGCATCCGCGATAAGGAGGCGAGCGGCGCGGATGCGGTCCTTGACACCGCGCTCAAATCCTCGGACGGTTGCTTCGTCCAGTGGGGCGGCGGATTCGAGGAAGGGGCGGTGGGCGGCGAGAAGGAGGGAGAGGTTACGAGCGAGCTCGGCGAAGAGGCGTGCCTGCTTCGAGCTCTCGAGCTTTAGCCGGCGCGCGAACGACGCGTACGCCCCGGCCACAGCGGCATGGTCGCCGACCTGCTTCCGGATCAGCTCCGCCCGCGACCGGAGGGGATCCGATCGGACGGCGAGGACAGATCGCCGCACAAAATGGAGGCCCGAAGAGTACAGATCCGACGGCGGAAGAGACAACAAACCCTCATCCTCCTTCCCGCTCACCTCCGGCGCCGTGTCGGTGAGGGAGAGAATCAGAAAGATGATGGCGACGGATACGGCGAGCAAGACGACGAAGAAGCGGCGGATCGCCGCATTGCGTTTAACCTTCGGATTGGGAATCGCCATTTTGGCTAGGGTTTCGAGATAGGATCGAAGAAGAAGAAGAGGAGGAGGAGGAGCTAGCGAGCGAGACAGAGAAGGGTTTATATTTATTGGTTTAATTCATTTATTACTACGAGCTAAGTAGATCTTCGCGTAGTGTTCATATACGGGTTTAATTAATGTTACAAAGGAAGTGGTAAATAAGATGGTCGTGCGGAACTGACTATGTTAACGTGATTCGGTGACATAAGACTTGGGGAATGGCCTTGGTGGGCAGATGTCCATTAACCGGGCATCGAAGCTGTGATATTAAGGCGTCCCGCGGAGGATCGTAACGGCAGTGGGGCCGAGCAGGGAAAGAATAATGGACGGTGGACGACAGTTGTGCTTCGCGGCCTAAATCTGGATATGGTCACGCGGTTCGAGACCGTCCTGTCGGTAAATCCGGTTGGACCGGACCGGACCGGCCTTGGCCCTGATGGACCGGATCAGGCTTTTTGATCAACACAAAGGAACACATAATGGTTGTCAATGAATCACAAAGTATCATCTGGATCTGTATGTTTTCTTTTCATTCAACAGAAGTGTTACCCTTCAACATTCTTTACAACAGAGTTCTTCAACTATATAATGCAATGCCTTGAAATTGATTTCTCCCTACACTTATATCACACCAACAGTGGATTTGGCTTCAACATCACATCTTAGTTGATCATAGAAAATACTATACGGAATAACATTCAGGTGGCTTCACCAGTGAAGTCGAAAACTGGATGCCTGCATAAGTGGATGTGCAAAATATGCACCCAATGTCAAGCCTGTGATTGTTAGATAAGGTAGCCGGAGAAATTCCTTGTAATAATCCTTGGGCAACTTTTGACGTCCATCTAATATTGCTGCGAAAGGGATTATACTTGTTCTACTCTTTAAGACTTCAAAAGTTTGACCATATCGAAGTGCCAGTCGCCTATCGCCATTCCAAACGCCAAATATGTGATGAACTATCAGTCCAACGGAGGTGGCCACTGCTACAGAGTTACCGATCCAGAGCGTATGGGCTAAGCACCATATTACCTGTCCAATCATCTTAAGCAATAAAACAGGACGAAGGTTAACATCTCAAAGTACAAATATAGAAATTCAACATCCTAGTGTAAGCATTATGTTGGATAAGCACCCTCAAAGTTGAGATTTAATCCAGGAATACTTATAGAGGAAAATATACCTGTGGATGCCTGGTGATTCTGATGATTCCTGTTTCCCAGAGATGCAATTTTGGCTTGTCAACAGCAGCGACTTCTAAAAGATTAAAGGTGGATGGGTAAAGAAAGAAAAAGGATATGAACGACGAGAACCACACAAGTTCATGAAGTCCAAAGACACTCTGTAGTTGCCACAATTGAGTACCATCATATCGATGATTGATGAAATAGACCTATAAGAAAACATATTTAAGATGATGAAAATAAGGATAGAAGAATACAAGAAAAAGCAGCAGTTACAAGCGAGAGAATTATTTTATGACTGCCAAAATCTGACGAGCTGTTAACGGACTTACAATGGTGCTGACTGCCAAAGGAAGTGAAATCCCTGCAAACAAAACTCGGTAAGCCCGCTCTCCTATGAGTTCTTCACCAGCATCCCGTAGACTTGCCAAACCACTATGGACGATAGCAAAAATGACAATAAGCAACAAAAGTACAACCTGTATAAGCAAAGAAAAAGGGGTCACCATAAGAAATTTCTATTTTATAATGGCCTGGATAAAGAAAAGGTGGCAGGCACTATCTACAACCTAGGAAGAAACAACTATGAAATAAAGGAATCTATTCTTCACCAAGAAATTAAGGAATAAATAAATTAGCAGGGCTTTCTTTCTCAAACATTTCAAACATATCCTGTCTATTAAATCATGTGCTAAGTAATGGTACTCTCTTCCATTGTCTCATTTCCAAGAGACCACTTGGATATCATACAAACCACCAATAGTTCATCATCATTCCCATCAATCCTCTAATTTTAGGTTCATGTTTATATGTCGTGTGTGCAAGGCTTACTTTAAATATTATACAAGCCACCAATAGTTCATTGTGATTCTCATCACTTCTCTAGTTTTAGGTGCATGTTTATATATGTTGCACCTGCAAGACTTACCTTGATATCAATCTGTCTGGCAATCTAACTGCTTGGCTTTAGCACAATATTAGCTCCACAATGAAATGCAAAGCCCAGAGTTTGTAGTTCTTCCCATTTGTCAATTTGTGTATTCTTATGTCTGTCTAAGATGTTCATGAGGCCCAAGGCAATGATCTTCCAAAGTTTCTTAGCTGGACAAATGCTATATTTTAAGATAAACTCATAACAGAAAGCTTGATCCCGAAAGCAAAGAAAATAAACCAAAAAGTTTGAACATATAGGATCAGTGTTGATATGACACAGAATAAATTTGAACATAAAAACACATGACACCAACTGCAGAAAAACACATTTCTACAGACAGACCCACTTGAACTGTAATGTTCAGAAATCATGTGAAAACTTCACAGACATTTATAGTGAGATTAAAATTCTAGATCTAATTTGAAAAGAAATCAAGCTAAATTAATGAAAAGAAAATGATTCGATGAGAGGTAGTAATTAAAATGGCCTACGAAGGATTTTACTGGCAGCAGAATGACAAGTCTGTCCAATGACACCTAGATGACTAATTTGAATCCAACTAGAGGACCTTCAAATGAATTAGCTTCAACAGTCTTTGTTGGAGATGAAAAATTGATGATGACTTCACAATATGTGGACTTGTCATTCTCCCATGAATTATTCAAATTAGGGAACAACCAATTGGTTAAATTTTATATGCTTATGACCTTAAGTTGAACAAGAAGATAAAAATTACTACCTTGAGGAATCCCAAAAAGATAAATAAAATAATACATAATATTTTCAACCATGTTGTTGCCAAAGATGCAATGTATTCTGTGTCACACAACTGCATCATAATTACTTATCATCTACTACCTCCCACATAATCTTAACTTTAAATATTTAATTATTTAATATACATAATCTTATTTGTTTTAATATTTAAAAAATTATTTCCCTGACTATCTTTCGAATAAAATAATAAAATAACGAGTTCAAAAGAGGGAAGAAATCTAATAAATTAGAAGAACGCATAGCATAATGCAACTACCAATCCTTCGGCAAGTTAGAAGCTTTTTATCCAAACTCACCTCCGGGCTCGGGGAAAGTCCAGAAACCGCATCGATATATGCCGTGCCGAACCCCGTGGACGGATTAATCCACAGAATATTGAGCGCGACGAGCACGGCGCCTAGTATGGCCGTGAAGTAAGCCCAGGATGATAACTTTTGCTCCCCTAACTCGAACGCTGCCGAGTCCTCGCCGACGCGAGACTCATCGGAAATCGAAGTCTCGGATTCCGCCCCTCCGATTGGAGTCCCTCTGACGTGAGCTCTACCGAAGAGACGAAGGGAATTCGAGGAATTGGTGCCCCAAATGTTGCGGCTTTGGAAGGGTTTTAGGAAGGCGAGGGAAGAAGGATAACGGAGCGGGGGAGCCGCGATGTTGTGCGGATAAAGGTAGCGGCGGCCGAGGGGGACGAAAGGAGTTGAGATGGAGAGGAGGAGCGGAGACGCCATTTCCAAGAAGCAAGATGAGAAGGGAGAGAGACTCGAGAGTGATGGAGTCGCGTCCAGTCTGCGGAAGGAGATGAGGAAGGCCTTCTAAAAATAACAGTTTTGACAGCTAATAAGCGCCATATCAT